ATTGGCAATGCCTTTTATAGGCAAATTTGCCGACACAATATACATAAATAATGCACATCCCATACCCATTACTATTCACTTTACTATTCTCATTTATTACAAATAGTGAAATGTCACTATCGAGGCATAGTGGTTTATTCCACTTGTTTCTAACAATATGAATGAAACTTTTTTTGTCATACCTAAAGGATAGCGTCGACATTTATCGAGTTGAACCGATTTGATTATTGAAAAAAATGACCTGTCCATCTTGAATTTGTTTATTAATATTAACGAGTTGAATTTAAAATTTAATATTTGGATTAAAAAATACGTAATAACTTTTATTCTCAAGATTAACAAGTGGAGTTGAGTCGAGCTCATAAATGGTTATTTTGTTTAAAATCTCTATGGAACTAATGCATCAGACATAGGTTAAGCACGAGACTCAATATTTTTTTATTATTGTTAATCGAACTAAACGAGAAACTGAAATATTTTGTACCCAAAGCGAACAACTTGCTATGTATATAACAAGAAAATCAATTTTTTTTTCTTTGATGTATGTCTGATGATTGTTTATTATTTTTCATTTTATTAATAAGGCGTGTTTTCGTTTGAGATTTGAGTGATATTTCGAAATTTTTTGAGATTCGAAATTTTTTAAAATTTGCAAATTGAGAACATCCTATTAAATCTTAAGTTGGAGAGTTAGGGGTGAGATTTTAAAGTGGGAGTTCCTATAAATCTTAAAAAATCCTACTAAATCTTAATTTCAAATAACTTAATCACCTCAATATTTTGTAAAACTTTTAAAAATCTCAAAAAATCTAAATTAGATAAATCATAATTTATGACTTCTTAGAAAGTCTTTATAAATCTCAGACGAATACGCCTAACATTAGTATTGGTTAGTTAATCACATATTTACTATCCAAGAAAACTCATAAAACCAAGTAAATAGGATAATTTGGTTGGAACACTTGTTAAATAAATATAAATTAAATGTGTGACCAGACTTTTTTGTTTTTGGTACATAGATGGAGGCCAGAGGCCCGAAACTACGAAGCTATAACATGACGTGGATAAGATACCCCACAGATGTCGTGATCAAGCCATTCACCCAACCCTTGGTGAGGTGGTGAGAGTTGTTGCAAGCCTAACGGGGAATAGGCGACTAAGGTCACTATACGGTCAGCCGCGAAGTTAGCTTCCCTATGCACATGATAGATCCGAAAGCTCCAATTTCTATTCACCAAGCTCTTTATGGCCCGAACTAGAGATTCGTGGACGCCAAAGTCATCTTAGGGCCAATGATCATTTTTAGCACACACTGACTGTCGACTTCTGTGACCATACTTGATTGGTTGACTTATTTATGGCTCCAATGTTTTCACTACTCATCCATTATTTTTTGCTTCAAATAATTATGTAATTCAATTACGATACAAAAAGATGTTGAAATATGCACTCTTCTAGGGGGTTCGACTTTATGAATTATTGGAGATAACTATGAACCAACACAAACACACGTTCATGCAACAACTCAAGCTAGTGTTTTGGTACAACCCAATGAAGACCATGCGCATGCACAACCCAATGAAGGTTGTTGTTCTAATCAGCTCAATATGTAGTCCATGGCCACCCAACTGATCAGTCCATTGGCCATGAAGTGTGCAACACGTGATGATCGTGCACCTGAAGGAAATGAGCCAAAGCCTTCTATGCAAAGGACAAGCACAACGACTATATCCAACTGTGGAGTACTAGCTCAACCCCAACCATTGATCAAAGGGTGTTTTTGCTAGATATGTGTAGGGTTGAGATCATTGCTTAGTCATCCTTGTACTCGTTCATCCTTATCCATCTATGGTTAGGTTTTTCTTATATAAACACGCAAGCAATGGAATAATGAACATATTGAGAAAAGTTCAGAAACATCATTAATAAAAATGGTAACTTTGTTTGGCTTCTTGTTGTTCAAGTTTCTTGTAGTTTCCTTTCATGGTATCAGAATAGACTTTGTCTGCTGCTGATTACCACACCATCTTTATCACACTTTTCTCTTAAATGTCAAATACAAATTCAACTATGTATGGCACCGGGGGACAAACCCCAAATCAATCTTGATCTCTTTAGGTTATGTATCCTCAAAATTAATTATTAACCACTAAACCTGATGAAAATAACTACCTCATTTGAAAACAACAAGCTCTCATCACTATTACAGGCTACGGACTCGAGCACTTCCTTCTTGGAGGTAAAGAACCACCTTAGTTCATACAACAGCAGGAATCTCAAATTCTTATTCCTGAGTTCACCACTTATCAGAGGCAGTACCAAATTCTTGCTTCATGGTTGTTATTATTTCTTTTAGAGAGTCCCCTTGTTCAGATTATCGGGCTTCAAACCTCTCGAGAAGTATAGAGTGCCTTATCCATCAAATTCCCAAGTTAGTCCCTAATCGATTTAAATTTAAAAAAATATGCTATATTTTATTAAGAGATACAATATCAAATAAAAAAAAATGACGAACATCTTTCATAGCTTAATTACATATTTTTTTATTTTAATCGATTATTGGAGTTGTTTCATTAAAAATAAATCACATCATATCTTTCATTTATTTAACATACCGATTGATTTAATACCAAAACTATTGAATTTTAACATAGTTTTTTTATATTAACAATTGTTAAACGTAAATATAGATCATGCTTCAAACACTAACACGGATAGACATAAATCAATATTTAAAATTCATTTCAACACACTAGTTGTAATATATATTCCCTATTTAAATAATTTTAAAAAATGCTATATTTCATTAAGAGATATCATATCGGATGCAATCAGAAGACGAAAGATACAATGCCAAATGAAAAAAAAAAAAGGAGGATATCACATGTTGGCCTGTTCTTGAAGAAATCAATGTTCAGTCACGGGTCAATTGTATACAGTTGTTTCAAGCGTTACCAATCATAAGGGTTTGAAACTTTTAATTTGTTGCAACTGGCCATCACGATGTAATTAAAACTAAAACAAATAATATTGTGTACAAAGAGATATTTAATAATATATAAAAAAAAAATATTTTTTTTATTCCACTAAAAAAAATACATCTATTGAATTATTGAAGTAGGCACCAATTGCTTGTACCAAAGCAAAAAGAATATGGGAACTGGCACCAATTGCTTGGGATGGAATTGAACATCTTGCAGACAGCTTTTCCCATTGGTAGTCTAAGCTCAGCTCTATACCTGCATCTGCTGACAATGAAGCAAGACTACAGTTCACAGCCTATTTGCTTTGGTGGATTTGGAAAGCGAGAAACTTGTGGGTTTTCCAAAGTACATGGAGGTCAAAGCTTGCTGTGGTGACCATTGCTTTAGAAGAATGGCTGGAATTCGACAGGGTGGAAGAAGTTGAATCCAAAGTCTTTTTGATGTAAATAGCTTTTGGTTGTTGTAGTTCTTTTTCTGCTTTGGCTTTTGTTTTTAGTTTACTGTATTTTCCTTTCTTTTGTAGGTTTATTTCTAAACTAGGATCCTTGATCAATGGTTTAGGCCTTTTTGCTTGTGGCTAGAAGGAATCCTTCATTGAAGTCTATGGTGATCATTAGTCAAATGAAGGAAACCTTCTAGCTCTTCTTGAGTATATTTTTAGGACATTTGTTGTGTTCCTTATTGTCTTGTTAGACTTGACATTGGGCTTTTGCCCCAGCTTTGTGTATTTCGTCTAGTGATGATATATATATATCCTATCGTTTCGGAAAAAAAAAAAAAAGAATTATTGAAGTAGGGTAGGGTCACAAAAATTGAGAAAAGAAAGATAAAATAAATTATAAATCTCGGCACCTTTTGATTTTCCTCCAGAAGGTTCGTTTAGTTGATTTTTACCAATTTTTCACTGCAAACTGAACAGATCACACGCTGCCCACTCAAATTCAATCTTCTTCTCTGTCTGCCACTCCACTCTCAGGTAATTTAATTTTTTCATTCTCTTCACTTTTTCTTTAAATTGGGTGCTCTATCTCATTGGCCAAATTGTTCTATTCCGTGTTTTGTTTTTTTTTTTTTAAAAAAAAAATTTGATCATAGAATGTCCATGAATATAGTGATTTTTCGCACTTCCAAAAACTCTGGTTTTTAAAGGAATAAGCATATGATGTATTCATTTTCATGAGTTTGTATGAGTTCCCTTGTCTCGCCTCTGTTGTTTATTACTTTTAACTTATGTTACATTGTTCCCAATTGGGGTGTTCAATCGGTCAAAACCAAACCGAATGGACCGAAATTTTGGGTTTGTACCACTTAAAAACAAAACCGAAATTTGTGGTTTGGTTCGGTTTCAAACTTAAAATCAATCGGTTAGATCGGTTCTGTTATCTGGACAAATTAAAAAAAAAAAAAAGTTAAATTTTCTGCAAGTCATGAATTACAAAAATAAAAAATAGCTAGATAATTAATAATTTCACCAAACAAAAGTAACACGCATCAAAAAATAAAAAGACAACTCAAAAAATACAAAGTCTATCAAGTCTCATACACATCCCAAGTCTTTTATATCATATAGGCTTGGGTGTAGATAAGATATCATTCTAATGGGCTTTGGCTTTGTAAATGTATGTATGAGATTGTTTTCGGTTCAATTAATTAATCACTAATATTCAAATCGAACCAAAAACCGAAATTTAAAAAAATCATTAACCGGAACCGAACTGCATTATTGGTCTAACTGGTTTGGGTCGGTTTGGCTCAGTTAACCGTATTTCGTGAACTCTTAGTTTGCAATGCTGTTCGAATGGACTCTTTTGTTCCTATGTGGTAAATTAGAAGATTCATGTGCTTTTTCGAGCTTGCCTCGCTGATTTGTTATATACCATTTGTACCTGTGTTGTTTGTTGGAACTTTATATTACTAATGATTAAAGATCACTTCTTTTTAATTGTTCATTTTGATTTGATCTTTTTTGCCTCCTGTTGATATTGCAAGCCACAGCCCTTTTAGAGATTGCGTAAAATGGACAACTTCTTTGGAGGGAAGGACCCCTTTGATCACCCATTTTTCTCCCAGCCTTTTGGTGGAATATTTGGCGGGAAAAGCCCATTTGATGACCCGTTCTTTAGCGGTGCTTTCGACAGTCCATTTTCCAGTGGCCCATTTGGTGATCGTACTAGTTCCCGGAAACAAATCAAAATCGAGGAGCTGAACCCCGAAAATGAAGGGGGCTATGATAGTTCTGTGCCGAAGGATATGCCAAGCAAGGAAGTTTCTCTTAAGAACATGAATGAATATCCAACTGGTATGTGTGTGTGTGTGGT